TTACATGAAAAAAATTGAATAAAATACCCCCGTAAAGTTTCAGGGGTATTTTGATCAATTTTTTTTTGCGGATTATTTTTTTTTATATTTTTACTAAGTGCAGCTTGATAAGAAGAACACACACCTAAAATTTCAAGTGATTTGGATTTGTATAAAAAAATTAAAATTCAAACACTACCGAACATCTGTGATCGTTAGATCGGCCCAGATTCAATCTGGGCCGTTGGGCTCATTTTTTCATGTGAGCTCAATGGTCACAGGATCATTTTCCATATATATATATATATATATAAACACCACAAAAATGCAGTAGACACCACAAAAATGCAGTAGACATTGGGAAGAAAGATGGTGACAAGTATATAGATCATTACAACCTCGGTTTGCATCCCTGACCACCCCTCTAAATCCATGGGTCCACCATTTGAGAGAAGAGCAGCTGATCTTAGGGGGCTTCCCTGCTCAATTCTCTCATGATCCACAAAAGCCTGATGAGGTGCCAACCCAGAAGCACGTACAATTTCTACAGCAAAAAAAGAAGTGTTGATCAGAGATAAGGATATCATGATATTCTACATCAGCCAGATGATCGACATCAAATGTAATTATAGGTTTCTTTTAAAACACATGTAGCTATATGCTTCTTTATAAACAATTGTAATTCACATTTGCCTGGAAAGAGCCACGAAATCTTCGAACTAAGCCCAATAGCTTCTACAATCTATCAGGTACATGCAACGTACAGTAGTCACAAGACACAGTCTAAATTGTTTTCAGAGGTTCAAGCAAGTAGTCTAATACTCAATTCTTTATCTCCACTCGAACAAATGGTTCAAAAAGTCAAAGCCTGTAATGCCTGTATGAAGAGACCAAAGTTGCTTGAAAGAGGGTTATCTGCAGCATGTCTATCTTTGAAATGGATAGAACTGTCTGACTTCCATTACTACAACAAATATGACAATCATGTCAAGCTCTTTCTTGATCTTTCATACATAAATCAGCCACATAGTACATTTGTTGAATTCTTTCTGTGATTCTATTTTTAAATTACAAGGTAGTTTCTCATGATAAACTTATTTTAAGTGGCCATTAATATGTATTCATTAATAAAGGTATATGGCAATAATTAATCTACTATTCATTTACATATACAACAGACTAAATAGCAGATACAAGTAGTACAAGAGATATGAAGTGCAAGCAGAATTGCGGATTAAGTACTAAGTGGGTGGAACTCCAAATGGTTAGCTCATATAACCACCAGTTTACATCCAAGGAGCTAACAAAAACTAGCATACCCAAAGACAGGGCAGCATATGATCAATGAGATCGTAACATTCACAAGTTACCTCAAACACATCCTGGATCCTCCAAAAACCTACTACCCCTTGTCTTACCCATCTGATCAAGTTCAAAGAACCAGTGCAAACAATTAAGGGCCACACAAATACTCAGATAATACATCAACCAGTCAAGAGGGCTCTCATTTATGCCTCAATAGTAGATTCAGAAAGCTCCAGTGATCTAATGAAAGATCTCTATCGTTAAAAATAATCTCACTTCAAAGGGCCCATGATACTCGAGTGAGCTGCTTACATGACCTTACCTAAAAAGTGGAGCTCATTAGAGACATTGTCCTCCACTCGCAAACCAAGTCTGTCATCTTGAACCTGGAATTCTTATTGACTAACCCCTACAAGACAAGGACATCCTAATATACTCACAGATCTAGAGGTTCAGCTACCCCACTCCTTCCCCTTTCCCAAGAATATTCCCAGCTTTCACATATACAACCTACTATGGAAAGGGTCAAAAACAACCTCCTAGGTGAGTTTTTTAATTGATAATGGTGAGTTGCCACTGCTATTGTCACCAGATAAACTGAAACTGGTAGATCTTGGAAGGCATTTCCGATCACTCTAGTAGTTGAACAGTAACTGAGATGACTGACAGTTTCCTCAACATTGCTATTCATAACATTGTAACTAACTCGGGAGTCAAAAGATGCATGTTCTTTTACTTGATAAGGACACCAAATGCTATAGATGATTCCCAGAAAATGTACTATCAAACTTGCCATCCAAACAGAAGGCCAATACTCTTTGAGGGGCCAAGTCACCCCACAAATAAAAGCCTTGATGACAATTCCTACATCGCAACCCTACAAAGCATGACGAATTGCTCGGCAAATATCTCATCAACCCAGATAGTATCCCAAAACCTGATCCTCAAAAATTGGGAAGATGGATTGGATGACTGGCGAAGAAAAGATGCAATAACTTCCAAGTGCCAATAGTGCCCTTAGGAGCAGTAGTCAAACCCCAACCAAATAGCAAACAGCCCTTTTTGCTGTGTAAGTTCAGTGGCCAGTAAAGTCCAGTGAAATATGAGTCCACAATAAGTGGCAGGACTCTCAGTTGTCTATACTAGAAGAGTCGTGTGCTCCTATCTCGCTTTGAACAAATGAGGCATGAGAACAATCTCTCGGACTTAAGCAACTCAACAAAGCAATGAATGCAATCAGAAGCTCAAAAAAAGAAAGAGAACGAAATCAAGGGATCGATTACTTTAGTTTCTCTACCCTAAATATTTCCCCAAATGAATTTTAATCCAACCTCACTGATGCCCCTTCCAGCCCCAACAACCCCAAATAGCCAACTTCAATTCCCCCATCCCCACCAATCCTCATTAGACTTCTATGTACTCTTCAATAACCCTTCTCAAATGCCACCTTAGCTCTTCCACGAGTCTCCAGTTCCAATATCCCAGTTGTTTTTCTTGACCTTTCTAAGTTTTAACCTACTAAACGAAACTGCAGACATGTTTTCAAACTACGAAAACACAGACAACAAACTCATTTTCAGGTATTCATGCACCCCGTTCTCGATCTATATATATATATATATATATATATATATATATATATATA